TTTTTATCAAGGGGCAGAGTTAAGAGCTTTTCAGCAGCACTAGCAACCTCCAAGGATCAGTTGGTCTTTGTTTCAGGCTGCTTTGGGCACCATTCAGTGCAGTGACATAGCGTATGAGCACACTCAACTAAACTGCCATTTGTGGGCACTCTCAGTTGGCATCTCTTGTGGTTGGCAATGATGGGAAAACAGAACTGAGATGTCTGTAAGAAGCTGGTGAGGTGGGCAAGGGGGCTTGGCCTAGCTCAGGCAAGGGACTGTTGGATGGCTTCCTTAAGGACAACTGATAGCCAGTTTTGACGAAGAGCAAAGAACTGAAGAGGTTGTGCCTCAACCTACCAGGCACTTTCTTGGCAGAAACAGTGACGTCGCAGAGGGTGTGTGAAATGGGGTACCTGAGGGGGTATGGAAATCAGCAGCTCTGCAACTTACATCCATTGGAGGGGTCGGGCCTCTGAGCACCCCAAGTGCCTCACTTCACAAACAGGCAGACTTCAGAGCCAGCTCTAGGTGGGTGCTGGTGTGGTAGGTTCTTTCATGGAGCTTTGACTGTGTTAGGCCATGGAAGGCCGTGGAAGGCTGGGATGCTAACGAAACTGCTCCATGGAGTAAATATTGTGGGAGTTTAGAAATCAAATCTAAAAATGCATATTCTTACTAGTAAGCAAGTGTGGAGATTAAAATCACAGAGCAGTATTGCTGTTAGGTGGACTCAGATCAATGCAATTGGTAGAGAAGGCTCTGTGTTATTTCATTTCCCCTCCTCTCTTGGTAGGGAAGAAGGAAAAAAGTATTTTCTGTTCCTTCTCTCTCTCTCTCTCTCTCTCTCCAACCAGCCGATGGGAGAAGACTTGTATCTGCTTGCTCCAGCATCAGGCTCATGCCTGAGGCTGCTTTCACTGTAAATACAAGTATTTTACCTGCATTTATTTTTACTGCTGTTGTTGCTAAGGACAGGTGCTTGACTGTGAGTAAACTATATGTTTTAAGCATACTTTCCAGTCCAGTCGGTGGCCTGTTTCTATAATAAACGGGGTAACAGAAGGGAGAGGTGCGCCAGAATCTGAGTGAGGCAGCAAATCATACGATTCTGCTACCTTGACTCAGCCATGACCCCTCTGGTGGAGGGCACCCTAACCCGGTGCTCTAACCCTAACCCAATCCTAACCCTGCTCTAACCCTAAACCCCCTACCCTAACCCAACCCTTACCCTAACCTAACCTTTAACCTAACCTAACCCTTAACCCTAACTCCTACCCTCACCCTAAACCCTAACCCCCTATCCATAACTCTAACCCTGCCCCTAACCCTAATCTATACCTGTGCCAAAAATCAAATCCAGTGTGTTGCCTGCTTGACATGTGTTGCCAAAACAAACTGGAGAGCCCTAGTGTAATGGCTTGGCTCTCCCACAGAAGCGAGACACCGGCAGTAATTATCTCAGGTTTATTGCTCAAACACATAAATCACTCCAGAGCTCCTTCACTCTGTGTCTGACTCCAAAGTTTGCAGTTGCCGAGTCTAAACTCCGCCCTTCTTCTTCTTCCAACAGGGGGGAAAACCCTTTCGCTTCCGCTCTTTCCCCCTCCTCTCACTGACCTCTTCGCACCTTCGAGTTTTTGGGCTATCTATTCCCAGCCTCTCCCCTTCTGTCTCTGAGCTAAGGTTGGTATTTGGATCTTTGCTATCTGCTGCCTGCTCTCTGCTTTCTGAAGCTATGCCACTGGGCTGCCCCTCCTCCCTCTCACATTCCAGTGTCCTTATCTCTCTTTTCCTGCTTTGATTCCCAGCCTCTGTCAGCTCCTGAACGAAGTGAGGCCGTGGAAGACACCAAGTTCAGAGCCCATGAGGAAGGGGCAGTGTCAGCATGGGCGCTGAAGTCCCCCAAAACCAATAGGTTAGGGAACTCCAAGGCCCAGCCTGCCACCACCTCCAGCAGGCCTGACAGGGTGGCTGTCAGTGGTCTAGGTGGTTGATACACCCGCCAGCCAGCCAGGCTCTCCTTGGTGCCCCACACCAGGCCAACACATTCAATGCCGGAGATCTGTGGCTCTGGCAGAACCCTGAAAGAGCAATTCTCCTGGATTAACGACGACACCCCTCCCCCCAACCCACAGTCCGCGATTGAACTACGCTCTATTCTGGTCTTGCTTTCAAATGTGAACTGTTGACAGTGCAAAGATATAATTGCAACTGTTCACTTTGCAAAGGAAACCATCATTTGTAGTTACCATCTTTTTCCATGTGTTAGTCAATGTTTTTTGCTTTAAAAAACTTACTCAAAAATTGAGGTTTGTCTTATACACGGATGGTGAACCCCAAATTAAGAAATCAAAATTTTAAACATCAAACATAACTTTGATATTTTCCTAAATATTCAAAACACTGGTATTTTTAGTATTGTATATTTAAACATCACCGGCAGTGAGCTTTTTTTAGGTGATTGCAAGCTCGCCTCCACCCCCTCCGTCTGCCACCACTGCGCCAAGCCCACTCGTGCCTGAACCTGAGCCCGAGCCATTATACCTTCTATTTATATATGACTGGGGGGGGGGGGCATTCATCCAGAACAGTGAAAAGATTCCAGAACAGTCGTATATAAGTGGGATTGGCACTCTGAGCATGCGCAGCTTCAGCTGCAAGTGCTGATAAAAGCAGAACTTTTGTTTTTTCCTTTTGCAAACAACCGACCAACAAATGCTGCCTACAAACTGTAGTGTCATGACTGCCTATAGACTGTGTCCGCCTGCATCTCGCTGCTAAAAAGAGTGAGACTTAGTATGACGTTACAGCTCTTGCTATAATGATTGTAAATAGTGTTACCGTGAAGCATTTATGACCAGTCAAGCAATAAAACACGTGACTGAGTTTTACGGTGTCTGTGAATGTTTCTTCTCAAAGTGTAGCTTCAACTGCTGACGACTGCTTCCAGAAACTCAGCAGAAAGACTGAAAGCTGCTAACAAGGTGCCTACACATGAGTATACTCATGCAGCAAAAGTGTGATGGACTGTGACCTTTAATACTCCTTGGAGGAAAAGGTGGTATAAAAAGGCAATAAATGAATTTTAATAAGGACAAATGTAAGGTTCTGCACTAACACAGGAATAATCAGCTGAACATATATACAATGGGTAATACTTGGCTTGACACGAGTCAGCAGTGTGACGCTGCAGTCAAAAAGGCTAATGTCTGCATCAACTGAAGTATAGTGTCCAGTTCAAGGTCAGACTAGTCCTTGGACAGACGACACCTGGAATACGGGGTCCAGTTATGTGTAGAGGAGGGTGGTTAAGATGATCAAGGGTCTGGAAAACAAGCCTTGTGAGGAATGGTTTAGGGAACTGGCTGTGTTTAGCCTCGAAAAGAGGAGGCTGAGATGGTGGAAATAGCTCAAGGAAGAGCTTTCTGGTGGTGGAAGCTGTTAAACAGTGAAATGAACTCCCTCAGAGGGCGGGGGGTGCTCCTTCATTGGAGGATTATAAGCAGAGGCTGGATGGTCATGTCATGGATGCTTCAGCCGAGATTCTTACATTGCATGAGGTTGAACTAGATTAACCTTGTTGTTGTTTAGTCGTTTAATCGTGTCCGACTCTTCGTGACCCCATGGAGAGCACGCCAGGCACTCCTGTCTTCCACTGCCTCCTGCAGTTTGGTGAGACTCATGTTCGTAGCTTCGAGAACACTGTCCAACCATCTCATCCTCTGTTGTCCCCTTCTTCTTGCGCCCTCAATCTTTCCCAACATCAGGGTCTTTTCCAGGGAGTCTTCTCTTCTCCTGAGGTGGCCAAAGTCTTGGAGCCTCAGCTTCACGATCTGTCCTTCCAGTGAGCACTCAGGGCTGATTTCCTTCAGAATGGAGAGGTTTGATCTTGCAGTCCATGGGACTCTCAAGAGTCTCCTCCAGCACCATAATTCAAAAGCATCAATTCTTCGGCGATCAGCCTTCTTGATGGTCCAGCTCTCACTTCCATACATCACTACTGGGGAAACCACGGCTTTAACTATATGGACCTTTGCTGGCAAGGTGATGTCTCTGCTTTTTAAGATGCTGTCTAGGTTTGCCATCGCCTTTCTCCCAAGGAGCAGGCGTCTTTTAATTTCGTGACTACTGTCACCATCTGCAGTGATCATGGAGCCCAAGAAAGTAAAATCTCTCACTGCCTCCATTTCTTCCCCTTCTATTTGCCAGGAGGTGATGGGACCAGTGGCCATGATCTTTGTTTTTTTGATCTTGAGCTTCAGACCATATTTTGCGCTCTCCTCTTTCACCCTCATTAAAAGGTTCTTTAATTCCTCCTCACTCACTTCATGGATCACTGCCTTGCCGTGGCGAAGGGGCTTGAATAACTCGGAGAAGCTATGAGCTATGCCGTGCAGGGCCACCCAAGATGGACAGGTCATAGTGGAGAGTTTTGACCAAACGTGATCCACTCCAGTATGCCTGCCAGGAAAACTCCATGGACAAAGACAAGAGATTAACCTTAGGGTCCCTTCCAATGCTACAATTCTATGATTCTCCCCACGGTGAATTATTTAATGGGACGTGAGCTTGGTGCTCTTACTGAAGTTCTTTCCACATTCCAAGCACTGATATGGTTTCTCCCCTGTATGAATTCTTCGATGGACCACGGGATTCCCCTTGGAATTGAAGTTGTTTCCACATCACAAGCATTTTAATGGTTTCACCCCTGTATGAATTCTTTCATGTGAAGTGAGACTTCCTTTCCAGGTGAATCTCTTTCCACATTCCAAGCACTGATATGGTTTCTCCCTGCTGTGAGTTTTTTGATGGGAAGTGCGATGGGAATTTCGACTGAATCTCTTTCCACATTCCAAACACTGATACGGTTTTTCCCCTGTATGAATTCTTTGATGGGAAGTGAGATTTTCCTTTTGGTTGAATCTCTTTCCACATTCCAAGCACTGATATGGTTTCTCCCCTGTATGAATTCTTTGATGGGAAGTGAGAGTCCCCTTGGAATTGAAGCTGTTTCCACATTCAACACACTGATATGGTTTCTCCCCAGTGTGAATTCTTTGATGGGCCGTGAGATGCGCCCTCTTACTGAAGCTCTTTCCACATTCCAAGCACTGATATGGTTTCTCCCCCGTATGAATTCTTTGATGGGAAATGAGATGGGTGTTCTGATTGAAGCTCTTTTCACATTCCAAACACTGATATGGTTTCTCCCCTGTATGAATTCTTTGATGGGAAGTGACACTTTCTTTCCGACTAAAGCTCTTTCCACATACCAAGCACTGATAGGGTTTCTCTCCGCTGTGAATTCTTTGATGGGAAGTGAGATTATCCTTCCGAATGAAGCTCTTTCCACATTCCAAGCACTGATATGGCTCTTCGCCTCTGTGAATTCTTCCATGTGATGTGAGATGGGAGTTCCGACTGAAGCTCTTTCCACATTCCAAACATTGATATGGTTTTTCCCCTGTATGAATTATTTGATGGGAAGTGAGACTTACTTTCCAGGCGAAGCTCTCGCCACATTCTAAGCACTGATATGGTTTCTTCCCAGTATGAATTCTTTGATGGGAAGTGAGACCTTCCTTCTGGGTGAATCTCTTTCCACATTCCAAACACTGATACGGTTTCTCCCCTGTATGAATTCTTTGATGGGAAGTAAGATTTACCTTCCAAGTGAAGCTCTTTCCACATTCTAAGCATTGATATGGTTTCTCCCCTGTATGAATTCTTTGGTGGGAAATGAGGCTTTCCTTGCAGGTGAAACTCTTTCCACATTCAAAGCACTGATAGGGATTCTCCCCACTGTGAGTTCTTTGATGGGAAGTGAGTGGGCCCTTCTGACTGAAGCTCTTTCCACATTCAATGCACTGATACGGTTTCTCACCACTGTGAGTTCTTTGATGGGAAGTGAGATGGAAGTTCCGACTAAAGCGCTTTCCACATTCCAAGCACTGATATGGTTTCTCCCCTGTATGAATTATTTGATGGGAAGTGAGACTTGCCTTCCAGGTGAAGCTCTTTCCACATTCCAAGCAATGATATGGTCTCTCCCCGCTGTGAGTTCTTTGATGGGAAATGAGATAGGAGCTTTGACTGAAGCTTTTTCCACATTCCAAGCACTGATATGATTTTTTCCTGCTATGAGTTTTTTGATGGGAAGTGAGACTCCTCTTGGAATTGAAGCTCTTTCCACATTTCAAGCACTGACAGAGTTTCTTCTCAATGGGATTTTTTTGATGGGAAGAGGAATAGAAGCTCTGACTGAAGCTTTCTCCACACACCATGTAGTTATATGGCTTCTCCACTGTGTGGATTTTGCAGTGGTCTCTCTTGTTCTTAATTTCCAATTCATCAGCACCTGTGACAATAAGAGAAATGGATTAGAGCCTTAGGAAGAAACTGAGCCCCAGATTATTGAACAATGATAATCAATGCTTGTGAGAGAGAAAAAAGAGAAGGGAGTTAGACAATTATTTATTTATTTATTTATTCATTCATTTATTGATAATAATTAGTATTATTAATAATAATAATTCCCTGCCCATCTAGTTGGGTTTCACCAGCCACCCTGGACAGCTTCCAACAAAATATTAAAATACAATAATCTGTCTAACATTAAAAGCTTTCCTAAACAGGGGTGCCTTCAGATGTCTTCTAAAAGTCTGGTACTTGTTTTTCTCTTTGACAACTGGTGGGAGGGCGTTCCACAGGGCAGGTGCCACTACCGAGAAGGCCCTCTGCCTGATTCTCTGTAACTTGGCTTCTCACAGTGAAGGAACCGCCAGAAGGCCCTCTGCACTGGACCTCAGTGTCCAGGCAGAACGATGGGGGTGGAAACACTCCTTCAGGTATACTGGACCGAGGTTCTGATTTGAAAGAGAGGTAGAGCTGGATATTATATGCATACTGATGAACACCCAGGTCTTACTACAAGGTTCAGTGTCTTTGTATTAACTGACATATTTATAGGAACCTGAGGTCAATAAAGCCTGACTCTTTTCTGGGATGGATTTTGCTTTGCCCAATCATGGATTCTTCTCCATCTCCAATGTTAGTTTTCTCTTGAGTCAACCAAAAACCCTGACAGAAGCTGTTTCAACTTTCCTAACAGCTCTGAAGCCTAACTGGAGGGAGAATATGCACAGACAAAACAGTTGATAGTCCTCCATTGGGGAGTTAGAATCCTTGATGCTGTAGATGGTGCTGTTGAGCTCCATCCAATTACTGGAGGTTTGTCACAATACTCAATATCAAAACAGAAATTATGAAGCAAGAGGGAGTCTTACTGAGAGAGTCCATGACCTCACGATTCTCCTCCATGACTTCCTTATGCAGAGCTCTCTGGTCAGGATCCAGCAACACCCATTCCTCATCTGTGAAATGAACAGCAACATCTTCAAAGCACACTGGACCCTAAAAGAAAAAGGTTGTCCTCTTAGACAGCATGAAGAATATAAACTGTACACTGCTCTGCTATTTTCTGCCTGTGAATTGCTGTGTTGTTTTAATTGGATGGGTTTGCTGCACATTTCAATTATGTGAGCTTGTTTTAACATTTTAATGGATTTTTTGTTGTCTATTTTAATGATGGGTATTAATTTTGTGTAATAGGGTGGAACTTCAAATCCTTCTCTCTGTGCAAGCATTCCAGCTTGCCAGATGGAAAGATCCCCACTTCACTCCCCAATGCGCTGTTCTTGGCGGCGGGGGGGGGCTCCCAATGCCCTAAAGCCAACTGCAAGGGGTGCATGGGGGCACAAGGAGTGGGAGGAAAGGGAGCTGAGCCCCATTGTGCAACTGATGTGGCTGGCTAGAGGACTCCTGGCCACTGCTTAGAAGCCTGTCTTAGCATTCAACAATAAATATATAAATAAAAGTGCAACAACATACCGTATTTTTCACTCCATAAGATGCACTTTTTTCCTCTTAAAAACTAAGGGGAAATGTCTGTGCGTCTTATGGAGCGAATGTGTGGTCCCTGGGGCTGGGGGCGGGGAACCCGGGCTTCCCCCACCAGCCCCCAAGCTCTGGGAGCGGAGGCAAGGCTGCGTGCAACCTTGCCGCCGCTCCCCGACCTGTTCTGGGGGCTGGGGTCGGGGGAAGCTCGGGCTTCCCCTGCCCCAGCCCCGTGGCTAAAAACAAAGCCAAGGCAGCACGCAACCTCTCCAGCCAGGAGAGGTTGCGCACGGCTAAAAACGAAGCCAAGACAGCGAACCCGGGCTTCACCTGACAGCTCCAGAAGCCTGTCCGCTGCTCTTTGGGGCTGGGGTGGGGAATAAGATTTTTTTTTCCCCTCCTAAAAACTAGGTGCGCCTTATGGTCCAGTGCACCCTATGGAGTGAAAAATACGGTAAATAATACTAGCAACACTCGGAAACCTAGTTAAGGAGAGGTGGCTGTTGATTATTCACAGCACACAAATCTTCTGGAATGGCATGTTCAGACTTTGTTAAGGGCAGTTTCACAGCAGCAGGAGGAGGGGGAGAGATTCATTTGGGCCCGGAGGCACCCAGGCAGCCCCACCCCTCAGCCTCTTTCCCCACAAGGCTTCTTCCTCCTACTTGATCTGGTTCCACAGCCGCTGCTTCCCCTCCAGCACCATGAAAAGATGGAGGAGCATGTCTTGATGGCATCATTTGGTCACCTGTAAGTAAGAAGGCAAGTAGGAAGACACAGGTGCATGCTTCTCTCAGAGGTCAAGCAGCACGACTCTAACTTCAGGTGGGCCTTACGTAAAGTCTTGCCTGCTGAGTGCATGTGGATGTTTGTACTCATTTCACATTTTCATGCTACAAAAATGGATCTCCACTCCTTGGGGTTCTTGGGACTCAGCTACACAGCCACAAATAAAAGGCTTTAAGTGTGTTTTCAGTGCAATATACAATGTGACACTAAATGACGGTGGTGAGCCTTATGGAAAAGTCAATGTATTTTTTAAAAAGCATTTTCAGAACAGTTTTTATGTGTGTGTAGACTCCATGTTGGGCCCAAATGTCTTCCTCAAAAGAATTCAAAGAACCCATTATATTAGTTTCAAAATCAATAGCATGTGCCAAAATGTAGAAAGAACTCATCAGTCCTTACCCAACAGCCTCTCTCTGGTTTCCCACAGAGTCCTCTCTGAGGAATCCAAGCCCTTGTCTGCAAACAGTTCCTTTCCCTGAAAGAGCAACAAGGATTTAAAACAGGGAAGTTGGAGAAGTACTGGAAAAGGAATGGCAGAGGCATTTCTTGGATGCTTTCCAAAAAAGGATGGGATTTAGGGATGCTCTCCCTCATGTTTGGAGCCCCTTAGGAGCATCCAGAGGAAAGTCTCTCTCACCTGCTGCTCCGCCTGCTTTCTCTCCTCTGCCTGACTCAGGAGAAAACCTTCAGCCAGGGCTACTGCCTGGGAACTGGTCTCTGCTCCACATTCCCTCACCCAGCACTCCATCTCTAGTGGAAGGACAGCCAGGAACTGCTCCATGATCACCAGGTCCAGCATCTGAACTTTTGTATGCCTTTCTGGCTTCAGCCACTGACCATCAAGACGGTAAAATTGGTTGCAAACTTCTCGGGGTCCTTCAGTCTCCAGGGAACAGAGCTGCCTGAACTGCTGGCTCTGCACCTCTGAGCAGAGGGTGTCCTCCTCACCCAGGACCTTCTGCAGCGAGTTTCCCCAGAAACTCCCACTGCTCCCAGTTTTGATAGCATGGCCTCTTCCTGCTTCAGGGTCAGCTGAGTCTTGCTCATCCATTTGTGCTCTCATGAAGCCTTGCGGAGATCCCTTTTTCTTCTGCCAAGTTCTGTCTGTCCCAATTAGAAGCACTAGCAAGTCCTACAAAACAAGCGCATTGTTCTGTTATAAAATTGGTATACTGTCAGGAGAAGAAAAATGTTCCCTGAGTAAGCGTGGATGAGTCTTACTAGGAACCAGGGTTGGACTGCACCACAGCACAGACTCTGAGCTTTCTCTAAAAGAAAAAGGAAGACTTTAGCCCTCCTAGAAGTAATGTTGCCATACTAAATGTGCAGACAACTGAGGGCATTTCTGTGAGATGAATACCCCGCTTGTTCCTGCCTTTCAGTCAATGCATGAAGTCAGAACTGCGACTGACGAGTGAGTACCAAATGCATTGTGGACACTAGGCTGTGGTGGGGGTCCTAAACCTGGGGCCCTCAAAAGCTGCTCCCCGTCCTGTCCTCCCCCGCTAAACACACATTCTTTCCTGTTTCTGTCTCATTTTCTAGCACTTGGAATCTCCAATGTTCTCAAAACATACTACTGGTGTGGGGTCTTCCCTTTTTTGTTCTGAGGGCCAGATACTTACCTGGCCAACCCCCTGAGGATGACGGGGGTAAGTTCAAAGCACGTGGGGGTGGAGCCAAGGGACAGCGCTAAAAAGCAAGTAAAGAAAGACTCATCTTATTTCTGAGATCGTAAGTTGTTTTAAACGGTTTTAATGTGGTTTTTAATGTTGTAATCTGCCCTGGGAACTGAAGGTGAAGGGTGGATTAATAATGATGATGATGATGATGATGATGATGATGGTGTGACAAAGCTTAACCCACACACAGCCATATATGCCTGGGGGTACTCCTGAATCCAGCAGGGTCACTTGAGGCTCAGGTGGCCTCAGGGACTAGCAGTGCCCATTTCCAGCTCTGGGCTAGTTTGCCATCTCTGTCCCTTTGGGACTGTGACGAGGTGTCCCTTGTAATCCATGCTCTGAATCAGATTGAATTACTGCAATGCCCTCTGTGTGAAACTGTCCTTGAAGAGAAGAAGAGGAGGAGGAGGAGGAGGAGGAGGAGAAAGAAGAAGTTTGGACTTGATATCCCACCTTTCACTCCCCTTAAGGAGTCTCAAAGCGGCTCACATTCTCCTTTCCCTTCCTCCCCCACAACAAACACTCTGTGAGGCTGAGAGACTTCAGAGAAGTGTGACTAGCCCAAGGTCACCCAGCAGCTGCGTGTGGAGGAGCGGAGACGCGAACCCAGTTCACCGGATTATGAGTCCACCACTCTTAACCACTACACCACGCTGTAGGAGGACTTGGAAGATGGTCCAAAATGCAGTGACCAGATTATTGGCTAGCTGGTGGGCTCGCTCTCTTTATTAACTGTATTTATATCCCACCTTTTTCTCCAAAAAGCTCTACTTGGCTTACACCCCTCCTCATTTAATCCCCACAATGACCTGAGAACACATTTACTTGCTTTTTTAAAACTGCTTCATTGGTTGTGAGTTCATTTCTGAGCCCCATTCAAGGTGTTCATATTATCTGAAGAACCACCTCCTTCTCTAAAATACCCATTGGATGTTTTTGGATTGGGAGAGGTCTTGGTAGTCTCACCACGCTCAGAGTTTTGGAAGGGGGATGTCCCAAGAGAGGCATTCCTTGGTTGGGGAATTCCCTCCCACAGAGGCACATCTGGCACCTTCCGCCATTTACCAAAGCCTCTGACACCGCAGACATGTGTTTACAGGACCACCCTATTCCTGTGACTGTATTTTGTTGATTTTAAAAATTGCTGTATCCCACCCTGGATAATAAATGGAGTAGTAGTAAAAATAGTGATAACAATAACAACAAGAACAGCAGTAACACACATCCTCAAGAAAGTGGGGAACTTGCCTGCTGGAATTTGCAGAGGTTTTGTTGCCCCTTGAGGTTACAGAAGAAAACACACACATCATCAGTATTTGGCTGAATCTGGTTGATCTAAATTTAAATGTAAACATAAATCATCATCTTCACTTTGAGCCTCCCTCCCACAACTCATCAATAGACCAACATTTCCATTAAGAATCACAGATTTGTAGAGTTGGAAGGGACCATGAGGGCATCTAGCATTCTTCCATTTGCAACATGAAAGGGGGGGGAGTTAACCTAAGAGCAACCACAAGCTTGCCTCTCTTGGAGTTTGGCTATGTTATGTTGCTTCTGTTTAAACCAATTCAGGAACCAAGGAATCGAACCAAGGAATCCTACGTTGAACACTCATAATGAAACATATATTGCAGATATTCCTGCAGATGTATTTTGCTATTTTTGTGATATACAAATGACATGAGAAGACTCGGTCTAATTATTGGTATCATTCATTACTTCTATTATCCTTGTTTATAAAGTTCAATAAAAAGTTATTCAAAGGAGAAAGGAAAAAGCACGCCCAGGCCACACCTGCAATGTACCTTCAAAGCAGAATCAGACCCCGTGAAAGAGCCAAAGAATCCTGGGGAACGTGGTTAGCTCGGAATGGTGGGCATTTCAATCCTCCTGCTGCAGATGTGAGGGGCTGTTATATCACATGCCTGCATTTACATTCCGGCCCTGGTTGCTGGAGTCTTGTGAGGGCGGAGAGCTGCCAGGCGAGATTCCCGCGTCCCACCCCCGGGGGGTTAACAACCCGCCCTTCCTGCGGGAGGGAGATCCATAGTTCACCGCAGGAAGACGCGCTTTCTTGTCTCCGCCTTCAATCTTCCGACCGTCTTTCTCTACGGATTGCCTGGCTCAGGTGCTCATTTTCATTTTTTGCGTAGGTATTTATGTCCAACTGGTTCTGTCTGGCGACCCCGTCTGTTAATAATCCCTCTGCTTTGTCTCTCCTTCTTTGCCCGCCCGTTTCCCCCCGACCTCCACAGGGCGGCAAGCGGCGCCTGGGCCCCGAGGAAGAGCCGAGGTGCTCAGCTCCCTCCTGCCCCGGGGGGCCCGGGACTGGCTCCCCCGCGAACCCCCGGGGGAAGAAAGAGACTCGCCCTCCGAGGCTCCCGGGAGGAGAGAGAGCCGAGCCGGAAGAGACCAGCCAGGGACCTGCGCCCGCCCTCCTCTCTAGGACTCCGGCGCCAGGCCTTTTAACCCTTCGCTTGGGCTCGGGGTGCCTTCTTTTCCTGTCCTCTCTAGGACTCCGGCGCCAGGCCTTTTAACCCTTCGCTTGGGCTCGGGGTGCCTTCTTTTCCTGTCCTCTCTAGGACTCCGGCGCCATGCCTTTTAACCCTTCGCTTGGGCTCGGGATGCCTTCTTTTCCTGTCCTCTCTAGGACTCCGGCGCCATGCCTTTTAACCCTTGGCAAGCCTAGCGCCCCCTGGCCCAGGAGGGAGTTCCTGCCTCGTTCTCTTGGGGGGATTCCCTGGGCTTGGGGGCTGAGCGGTTCTTGTTGGAAACTTTCCTTTGTTTGTTTAAGACCCTTATTAGCATCTCAGCGAGGGCTTTGCGGAGCTCAGGGGTTTCCTGTACCGGAGAAGGAAGGTTCTCCGAGGGACCTTGTCTTTGGACTAATTGGAATGGCGGGAAAGGAGAGAGCGTGAAGGAGTCCTTTCTTTGGGACTGTGCAGCCAGTGCTGCCAACAGATGTTTGTTCAGGGGACAAGGAAGAGACGCGTCTCTGGGTCAGCCCCCTCTCCAGCCCCCAGCCCTGCTCTTCAACTTCCCGCAATATCGGGGGGAACTTCCCGGTCTACCTTATAGGGCTGTTGTAAGAAGGACGGGGTTTGGTCTTAAGGAAGCACTTCGAACACTTCGGAATATACTCTGCAGAGGTCTGGCTTATCTCCCAATGTTCTGCCACCCCATCTTTCCTTGGCGTGGCTCTGGCACTGCCCAAACACCCCTGCGCCACCCTCCCCCTTCATTCAAACGGCACAGCTATGAGATGGGTCTGGACTGGGTCCTGCACCAAACTCCCATCTTAGAATCATAGAGTTGGAAGAGACCACAAGGGCCATCGAGTCCAACCCCCTGCCAAGCAGGAAACACCATCAGAGCACTCCTGACATATGGTTGTCAAGCCTCTGCTTAAAGACCTCCAAAGTAGGAGACTCCACCACACTCCTTGGCAGCAAATTCCACTGTCGAACAGCTCTTACTGTCAGGAAGTTCTTCCTAATGTTTAGGTGGAATCTTTTCTTGTAGTTTGGATCCATTGCTCCGTGTCCGCTTCTCTGGAGCAGCAGAAAACAGCCTTTCTCCCTCCTCTATGTGACATCCTTTTATATATTTGTACATGGCTATCATATCACCCCTTAACCTCCTCTTCTCCAGGCTAAACATGCCCAGCTCCCTTAGCCGTTCCTCATAAGGCATCGTTTCCAGGCCTTTGACCATTTTGGTTGCCCTCCTCTGGACACGTTCCAGTTTGTCAGTGTCCTTCTTGAACTGTGGTGCCCAGAACTGGACACAGTACTCCAGGTGAGGTCTGACCAGAGCAGAATACAGTGGCACTATTACTTCCCTTGATCTAGATGCTATACTCCTATTGATGAGGCCCAGAATTGCATTGGCTTTTTTAGCTGCCGCGTCACACTGTTGGCTCATGTCAAGTTTGTGGTCAACCAAGACTCCTAGATCCTTTTCACATGTACTGCTCTCAAGCCAGGTGTCACCCATCTTGTATTTGTGCCTCTCATTTTTTTTGCCCAAGTGCAATACTTTACATTTCTCCCTGTTAAAGTTCATCTTGTTTGTTTTGGCCCAGTTCTCTAATCTGTTAAGGTCGTTTTGAAGTGTGATCCTGTCCTCTGGGGTGTTAGCCACCCCTCCCAGTTTGGTGTCATCTGCAAATTTGATCAGGATGCCCTTGAGTCCATCATCCAAGTCGTTGATAAAGATGTTGAATAAGACCGGGCCCAAGACAGAACCCTGTGGCACCCCACTAGTCACTCTTCTCCAGGATGAAGAGGAACCATTGATGAGCACCCTTTGGGTTCGGTCAGTCAGCCAGTTACAAATCCACTGAGTGGTAGCATAGTCAAGACCGCATTTTACCAGCTTCTTTACAAGAATATCATGGGGCACCTTGTCAAATGCCTTGCTGAAATCAAGGTAGACTACATCCACTGCGTTCCCTTCATCTACCAGGCTTGTAATTCTGTCAAAAAACGAGATCAGGTTAGTCTGACATGACTTATTTTTCAGAAATCCATGCTGACTATTGGTGATCACAGCATTCCTTTCTAGGTGCTCACAGACTGTTTGCTTAATGATCTGCTCCAGAATCTTCCCTGGTATTGATGTCAGACTGACTGGGCGGTAATTATTTGGGTCCTCTCTTTTCCCCTTTTTGAAAATAGGGACAACATTTGCCCTCCTCCAGTCTGCCGGGACTTCGCCTGTTCTCCAGGAATTCTCAAAGATGACTGCCAGTGGTTCTGAAATCACATCTGCCAGTTCTTTTAATACTCTTGGATGCAGTTCATCTGGCCCTGGAGACTTGAATACATCTAGACTAGCCAAGTATTCTTGTACTATCTCCTTAGTTATTCTGGGCTGTGTTTCCTCTGCTGAATCATTTGCTCCAAATTCTTCAGGTCGGGCATTGTTTTCTTTATCGGAGAAGACTGAGGCAAAGAAGGCATCGAGGAGTTCAGCCCTTTCTGTGTCCCCTGTTTGCATTTCACCATCTTCTCCTCTGAGTGACCCCACGGTTTCTTTGTTCTTCCTTTTGCTACGAACATACCCATAAAAGCCTTTTTTGTTGCTTTTAACCTCTCTAGCAAGCCTGAGTTCATTTTGTGCTTTAGCTTTTCTGACTTTGTGTCTACACGTGCTGGCTATTTGTTTGAATTCCTCTTTGGTGGTTTCCCCCCTTTTCCATTTTTTGTACACATCCTTTTTTAATCTTAACTCAGTTAAAAGTTCTTTAGATAGCCACCCTGGCTTCTTTAGGCACCTTCCATGTTTCCGTCTCATTGGTATTGCCTGAAGTTGTGCTTTTACTATCTCCCTCTTAACAAACTCCCAGCCATCTTGAACTCCCTTTCCTTTTAGTATTACTGTCCATGGGATCTCACCCAGCACTTCCCTAAGCTTTATGAAGTCGGCTTTCTTAAAGTCGAGAAATTGAGTCCTAGTATGCTTGGCTGCTCCTTTCCGCTGTATAGTAAACTTCAGAAGAGCATGATCACTCACGCCTAATGATCCTTCCACTTCTACCCCACTAACCAGGTCATCAACATTAGTTAGGACCAGATCTAAAATGGCTGTTCCTCTTGTTGCTTCTCCCACTTTCTGGACAATGAAGTTGTCTGCAAGGGCAGTGAGGAATCTGTTTGACCTTATGCTCTTGGCTGAGTTTGACATCCAACAAATATCCGGGTAATTGAAGTCCCCCATTACTACTATCTCCCTTCCTTTTGCATGCTTGGCCATCTGTTCCAGGAAGGCATCATCTATGTCCTCCGTTTGGCTTGGGGATCTATAGTAAACTCCCACAATGAGGTCACTGTTATTCTTCTCTCCCTTAATTTTGACCCAAATGCTCTCACTTTGGCTTTGAGGTTCTAAATCTTGGATCTCTTCACAGGTATACACATCCCTGACATATAACGCCACTCCTCCTCCTTTCTTGTCTGGTCTGTTTCTTTGAAATAGATTGTATCCCTCCATTATTACATTCCAATCGTGGGATTTATCCCACCAGGTTTCAGTGATTCCTATTATGTCATATTTAGTTTGCTGTACCAGGAGCTCAAGCTCATCTTGTTTATTTCCCATGCTTTGCGCATTAGTGTACAGACATTGAAGTCCATTAATCATTCCCCCGTGTCTCTTATTTAAGGATTTTCTCCTCCCACCACTAGGTCTGCATGCTCTTTGCTCCATTCGGTCTATGACATTTGGATGATCATCTTCATCAATTGATAGACTCCTACCTTCAGGAGCACTGTCTCCCTCCCCCACATTAGTCAGTTTAAAGCCCTCCTGATGAGGTTTCTGAGATTTTTTGCAAAAACATTCCTCCCAACCGTTGTGAGGTGCAGCCCATCGCTTGCCAGAAGTCCATCTTCAAGAAACTGCATTCCGTGATCTAAGAATCCAAACCGTTCCTGTTTGCACCATTTGCGAAGCCAGTTGTTCACTTCCACTATTTTTCCCTCTCTCCCTGGGCCACGTCGTTCAACTGGGAGGACAGATGAGATGACAATTTGTGCATTTAATTGCTTCAATTTCCTGCCCAGAGCCTCGTAATCTCTTTTCATCTTCTGGAGGCTATTGCTTGCAGTGTCATTGGTTCCCACATGAACCAAGAGGAAGGGGTATTTGTCAGTGGGTTTTATGATTCCTTGCAGTTGTTCAGTTACATCTTGGATCTTAGCCCCGGGGAGACAGCACACTTCCCGAGACATCTTGTCAGGCCCACAGATCACTGCTTCTGTTCCCCTCAGTAGGGAATCCCCTATCACCACTACACGCCTCCTCTTAGGTCTGGTCGGGGTTCTTCTGTGAGCTGTCGGTTCCAAGGTCGCCTGGACATTCCCAGAGGACTGCCTTTGCTCCTCGTCTTCATATACCTGATCGACTGTAATGAAGGAGAGATCCTCAAATGGAGTCTGCTCTTCGTCTTCCATGCTAGGGGAAAGGACCTCAAAGCGATTGCGTATTTCTAAACAATCAGAGCGAACCCTGGGCCTCCTACTTCTTTGAGTCACGTTTCTCCATATATCTGGCTCCTGTGTTGGTGAACTAGCCACCTTCTCAGGGGAGTCCCCTGTCTCTTCCTTGGTGGAGACGGTGTGCTCTGTTGCTTCCAAGAAGAGTTCCAGCTCTCTAATTCTTTGGAGCGTAGCTACACGTTCCTCCAGTTGCTGGACTTTGTCTTTTAAGAGGGCAATCAACATGCAATTGCTGCAGGTAAAGCTGCCTGCAACCTTTGGCAAGATGGCAAACATTGCGCAGGAACCACAGGCGACTGCAGCTGTTCCCTCACCCTCCATCTTGGGAACGTGTCGTTGGGGGTGACTACAGTGGTCCTCTATCATAAAAAGTGTGGAGACAGGACAAATAAATCCCTCCCAAAAAACCTAGGTCTCCCCCAACAAATGTTTGAGACTAGCTCCCCTAAATCTAAAATATGGATCAAACTAACACAGCTAATCACCTACCTCAACAGAAGCCCTGCCCCCTCTGACCTTTGCCCAGAGAGAGCAGCTAAACAGCCACAAGAAACTCACACAGGAAAACCCTTTTTGTTCCTTCTTCAGCTGCTGCCCTAAAGCTCTGATAAGCTCCTCCCACAGCTAATCACCTACCTCAACAGAAGCCCTGCCCCCTCTGACCTTTGCCCAGAGAGAGCAGCTAAACAGCCACAAGAAACTCACACAGGAAAACCCTTTTTGTTCCTTCTTCAGCTGCTGCCCTAAAGCTCTGATCTTATTTGCTGCCGCCACCACAGAGAGCTCCTCTTTGAACACTTCTCTCCTAAGGTAGCAAAGAATGAGGGGTGTGGTGGAATACAAAGGATTTATTGAAAAATAAACAAAGGTTTCAAGATAACTGTGTAAAAATGTTCATTTTTGTTACTTTATTACAGCAGGAGCAATGGGGAGTATAATGCTGTTCCTATAGTACTAATCTAACCAACCTGCTTCAGAACTGCCACTGCTCTCTCCCCTCTGTTAAGGAAAAAATCCAGGGTGAGAGACTACTCAACAGCCCAGCTTGCCAGGGTGCAAGTCCCCCGTGGTTCTATGTGGTCAGTAAAAGAAATAAGTTCCAGCCAAGTAATTTGGAGCAAAACAGTGATCAGTAGACCACAATCTTTATTGCTGCACAGCAGGTTCCCACACGGAGTAAGAACCCCAACATAGATTACACGCTCATTTAAGACCTTCCCCCACTTCCCATAATACCTTTCCAGAAGCATCATTGATACATCACTGATACACCATTGTCGCTGGAAATCACCCCCCCCCTTCAGTAACACGTACTGCACAAGCACCACATCCACACATACACGTATCTCCCCTTCCTGACCCTAGAGATGTCCCTTTAGAGGGCCATCTCTTAAAAGCCTTCCGTAAATAAGGAAGCGCTGGCTTGACAGCTCTTTGTTTTTAGTGCTCCGCGCCGCCCTATCCTTATTGAGAGTAGACCGGACGACCGAACTCTAGGTCAAACGGCGGCCGCCTCAACCAATCAGCATTGTCGAACAGCGCCCCTTGTGGCGGCCACGCTGGTACTGCAGGCTACGAGCATCTGCTCTTTCACCTTTTGACAGTTCTCAATTCATTGTTTCCGAGTTCAATTGACCGTGACTGATCTAATCAAAATGTTGCAAGTTGTTTCCGAAAGGGAAAGTACTTTGAACTTCAGTGACTGTATTCTTTATAAATTCACCAAAAATCAGCCGTACCATGGATTTTCACCGGATCACTTTTATTACACTGCATATTACAAGGACTATCAAAGGGGGGTGAACTGGGATTGATCGGCCATAATCCTTGAACCGTGTGGTCACGTACACAACGGCCCTTCTCCGGATGGCGGGGCAACCTTGATAACCATCGGGAAGGGCTCAGACGGAATGCTATCAGAAAAACAATAAACTGCATACGGTAGTGTATTCCATACAGACTCCGACAAAGGACCGTGACCGGATTCCCCTCAGGGGGCAGGAAGACTTCACCTTTTCTTTTGTTCCTGGAAATGACTCATGTGGGGAGGAGAGAGGAGGACTCTGCCAGGTGTCAAGATACTCGGATTACCCGGGTAGCTCCTCCTCGACTCCTCCTGTTCTTTAATAAAATCATGATGTAAATATGATGTAATTTTGGGGGTGTAGTCAAGGGGATTAGTGGTTAATAAAAGTTGGGGTCTCCCATTGTTCGGGGCTTCCATCTTGCTTCACCTCGTGGGCGGTGGGAGTCCTGTCGCGACAGTCTTTCCTTTAATAAAGACCAAGCCTACTGGCTGCTGTTTTGCTCTGACTTGCTCTGGTTGGTGTCTTTGTTTCGTCCAAGGGAGCCCTCGGATTTTCCTGTAACACCATCAACATGTCATAAAGAGGGAGAGGGATCTTGAGGTTACCCAAGTTCATCAACTTGCTCCGCTTATCAGATTTAGTCCCAGACACCTTAAGTTCCCGCCACCCAAAGAACAATAAAACTATGCATATCCTTGTCCCCCAGCCTTCCCGATTGGGCTTTGGGAACACCCTGCCTCAGCAAACCCATCAGCGGATCTCCATTGTTTTCTACAGGAGAGGGGTGCTGTGTATGGGACTGCCTGCCTCAGGGATTATGGAGGCAGGGGAAGCCAAGGAAATGGTGGTGTATGTATGGTGTATGTATGGTGCCCTGTGTCAATGGTCATTGTTCTGGCCTTAGAGGCTATGGTGGGGACTTGGAATTTGGGGAAAGTTGTTTAACTGCCCCCCCCCCCCGTTCCTGGTTTTAACACCTCCAACTGTCTTACCCAAGAGGCTGCTGAGGCCACCTTGGCTGAGATTCCTGCAAGACCTGCTCCCTGCTTTAAAGGCCTTTTTCCACCTAGCCTGGGAACCTTGGGCCCTGACTTCCGCTGCAAAAGCTGAAGCTGCTGAACAGAATCTTGGGCTTAGGAGGTTGTTTTTGTGAGTCGGGTCTGTTCCTGCTGGGTTTTTCTTCTTCTTCAGATCTTGTGATTTATGAGGAAATTGTTCAGTATGGTTGTATATTTTGGTTGTGTATTTTTTAATTATTTATGTATTGCTTATGACTATGGGAAGGGCTGGGCGATGGGCTCTGCGGGGTGGTGAATGCTTTCCTCTGTGTTTCAGTTCTCCAAAGGACCACAGACCCTGAGTGAGGCCTGGAACCCCTTGGACTCTTGCTGCAGCTCAGCAGAGTGGGGGGGGCACCCACCTTTTGTAACATCATCATCATCATTGATTAAATGTATGCTGCCCTATACCTGTAGACCTCAGGGTGCCTCATCATCACTCTCCTCCCCTCTGGTTGTACCCACTTCTTGTAATCTGCTCCTCTGGTTCTCCTTCCTGCTCAGCATCTGTGCTAGGAGGTCTGACAGTGGGCAGTAGATCTGGAATGCTATACATCAATTCAGGGCTTGCATTTTCCCCTCTGAATCATCAGATAAGTGTATCACAGGTCCTCTCTTGTCAGCTTTCCTGTGTTTGTCAAAATGAACCACTTGTCTTGTGCTGACTTTCCTTGTATTCAAGTCCATCACCCTTCGTCCTTTGTTCCCTAGAGCATAGCCAATCATCATAGTTTCTTCTGCTCTGAAATCTACACTGTGGAGCCTGCTGGAAAGTGCAGTCTGCTCAGCCGGGCCACCCCTGGCAATGGGCAGAAGCACCGACTGCGCAGGTCCATTCTGTGTCCAGGGCAGCTGTCTACCAACTCCACCTGGTACGCAGGCTGAGACCCTACCTGCGACTGTCTGGCCAGAGTGGTGCATGCTCTAGTTATCTCCTGCTTGGACTACTGCAATGCGCTCTACGTGGGGCTGCCTTTGAAGGTGACTCGGAAACTACAACTAATCCAGAATGCGGCAGCTAGACTGGGGACTGGGGGCGGACGCCGAGACCACATAACACCGGTCTTGAAAGGCCTACATTGGCTCCCAGTACGTTTCCAAGCACAATTCAAAGTGTTGGTGCTGACCTTTAAAGCCCTAAACGGCCTCGGCCCAGTATCCCTGAAGGAGCGTCTCCACCCCCATCACCCAGCCCAGACACTGAGATCCAGCGCCGAGGGCCTTCTGGCGGTTCCCTCATTGCGAGAGGCCAAGTTACAGGGAACCAGGCAGAGGGCCTTCTCGGTAGTGGCGCCCGGCCTGTGGAACGCCCTCCCATCAGATGTCAAAGCGATAAACAACTACCTGACATTCAGAAGGCATCTTAAGGGAAGTTTTTAACGTGTGATATTTTAGTGTATTTTTGGTTTCTATGGAAGCCGCCCAGAGTGGCTGGGGAAACCCAGCCAGATGGGCGGGGTACAAATAATAATTTATTATTATTATTATTATTCTCCTAGGGGGCACTGTACTTGACTCTCCCTCCTTTTTTACTGGGCTGAGACCCCCGGGAATCAGCAGAAGGGGGGAGGAGCTATCCCTCCTCCTTCCCCTGTGGGTGCAGGGGGCTGCATGCAACACTGCCCCTGGGAGCTGGTGGGTTCTTCATGGACATTTCCGCAGAATGCCCCCCTCTGTGCAGGAGGTTGAGGGGTGGGGTAGGGTGAGGCGGATCCTGGGGTTGGCTGATGCTCCTCTCCTTCCCCCATGCCTGGCTCCCTCTGCCCCAGCCTCAGCTGCAACCAGATGGCCCCCTGGAACCAGTGGGGGGAAAGAGGTGATGTGGGGCGGCCAGGCAGGTGTCTCTGGGGGAGGGTGGAACATACATGTGGAAGAACCAAGGGGTACACAATTACTACGGTTTATTGAATTTGTTAGTTGCTTTAACTTGCTCAGCCCAAAGTGACATGCCACCAGCTGCTCCCTGGAAGAGCAGCCGCCTGCAGCCAGCCCAGGCCAAAGGGGATCACCCAGCCCCACACCCGCCTCTTCTCTCAGGGGCCCAGCAGAGGTTTTGTTGCCTTCCTGCAGCTTCCCCGCAATGCAGCGCCAATGTCTCAGCTCAGTCTTGGCAAATGTAAAACCTGTGCATAGAACAGCTTTTTGTGCCATGAGTTATAAACCTTAAATTTCCTTCATCCTTTCCACCCACCACCCGTTTTTCTCTTTGCCCTTTGTTGTAATATATTTACCAATCTCCAACAATTCACCCCCCTCCCGGCTTTCAAGAACCCTTCCAAGAGGCAGGTTACAATAAAAACAGAACATGCCACTGAGCCATGGCTGTGGCAGCCGTGTGGGTGGCCACCTGCCCACCCTTCAGCGAGGGGCAACGCGGAGCCGGTAGGCTTTGGGGACCATTGTCAGGAATGCTGGTGCTGGCGAGGCATCGAGGTCCTCAGGAGCCACAAGAGGGACCAGGTCAAAGTGTTGCAGGATGGATGTCAAGGTCACAAAGATGGTCATGTCCACCAGCTTCTTGCCAATACAGGCCCGCTGGCCTGCAAGCAGAAAGGGAGGTGAGCCCTGGAAGGGCCTTCCTGGCTGCATCCTTGGAACAGCAAAGCCACACCGGCTGGGATGGCAGGAAGGGGGACCAAGTGAGATGCTAAATTGTGGGGGGGGGGAGGCAGAGCAGCTCTTCCACGCTGTGGGCACAAAATCTACAGCTGTCTGTGACCCCCCCCTCCAAGCAGCCAGAGACTCCAGCCATGCATTGGAATTAGGATGAGGCATAGGAGAACCTGTTTGGCTGCAAGATTCCTTTCAGCTGTAAAATGAGGATTCATCTATTTACCTACGGAAAGTGGGATGAAGAATTTGCTCTCCTTCAGGCCTCCGTTATCATCCAGGAAATGCCCAGGATCAAACTGCAGTGGGTTGGGGAATTCTCTGCTGTCATGCAGCGAAGGCTTCAGAGCAGGGAAGACTGTGGTGCCCTGGTGGGGGGACAAAGAGAGGAGACCCTCCTGGGCTCAAGAGGTTCTTCTCCAAAAGAGAAGGAAGCAGAGACTTCTGCCCTGCAGGTGCAATCGCAGACAAGGCCCTTGAGGTCTGGGGTCACCCCCTGCCTGGCTCAGGTGGGGCAGCCCTCAGTAACCTCCTCTGGGGACCAGGTGCCTGATGGAGAAATGACTTACTCCCACCCCAGCCCTGGCCTCCGTTCTGGGCGCTCCTGTGCACCTCAGGAGTCTCAGGCTTGCCCTGGTTGCAGCTGCATGGAGGGGACTACTTGGCAGGGTGGCCTTGATTCACGTGCAAAGTGCCGGCTGCACATTTCTGGTGCTGTGTGTTTGGAAAGCCCTTGAGTGTGTCCTGCCCAGCTTTCAAATCTGCTCCTCCACTATAAGCAATACCCAGAAGGCTCCACAGTGTCTGCTGTGGATGAAAGGAAACTGCAGACAGGTTTCTTTGTGGCCATTCCACCTGGGAGGCAAGAAACTGACCTTGGGGATGAAGTATTGCCTGAAGAGAGTGTCCTTTGTGGTTTCATGTGGCAGATTCAGTGGCACAAGCACCAGGGTTCGATGGATCTCATGGATCACAGCATCTGTGTAGGGCATCTTTCCCAGATCCGCCATGCAAGGACTTCGTGATGAGCCAATCACAGTATCAATTTCTTGATGAACTTTCTCTAAGGTAAAAATAGATGAGATGTAGTAAGAGTGAGATTTTTGTGAGTGTGATTTGATTTTTATTTTATTTTTTGCTATGTTTTCTGTTCCTGCCCCTCTTCTCTGCCCCCTTCTTTTCCAAGCTCCTCAGTCTCCCAACTAGAAGCCCCCCACTTCTGTCAGGGTGCTGCCCACCTTTGACCTCTGGGTGCTTCATGAGAGTCAGGAGGGCGTAACTCAGGGTGAGGCTGGTGGATTCTGCTCCTCCAATGAAAAGGTCTAAGATGCTCCTCACCAAACTTTGAAGATCAAACACTGACCCACTGTTCTGCTTCTCCTGTAGGGAGGTTGGAAGAGACGACAGGTGCACAAAGCACATTGTTTGCCCAAAGTAACTCTGCCATTACAGAATTCCAGCACAAACACCTCCCAAGGATCTGGGGCTGGACCTGTCTGTCATGTTTGCAATGCAGAGATAAGTCCCACTCCTGGAAAACTCTTCCTCTCATCCTGTGTGAGGGGAGAGGACTTCCCCAACCTGCCACCTTCCAGGATCCCTCTCCTCAGCACACCCACCCCCCACTCCCTCCTGACCTCCTGCGTAAAGCTGGGGGGAAGGGGGTGCAATGAGAAGCAGAACAAAGCCTTTTGTGCCCCCTCCCTCTGCCCCTGCTGCCATGGCCCAGCATAAGGTGGGAGCAGGGGGGGCTTTGACCCTGGATGTGGGCTTCCAGAGCAAAAAATGTGCCCTGCTGCCCCCTTTCATACAGACACGTTTCCCTGCCACCTTCAGTCTGGAAACGTGGCAGAGAGGCTCTGCTGAGCACACAGCCAGGGCTGGCACATGGCACATGGCACCTGCCCTCGGATGGCCGCCATAGTGAGACCCAGTGAGACAGCGGATCCGCTTCTGAGCAGGGTGGCCCAGGGATCACTGCAGACAGGACAGCCAAGGAGGCAGGTGACACGCCCCCACCTGCTCCATCTTGACGAGAAAGGCATCAATGAAGTCCTGAGGCTGGCTGGGCTTCGTTGTCTCCTGGTGTCTTTTCACCCGCCTTGAGATGAAACGCTTTAACTCCTCTGTATTTTTAAATATCTTCTTGTGAGATCCAGGGAAGTATTCCAGGATTGTCGGGAAAATATTGTACAGCTGTGAAGAGCAGGAGGTAAAACTCACCATGTGATTCCTGCATTGCAGGGGGTTGGAGCAGATGCCCTTTGGGTCCCTTCCAACACTACAGTTCTGGGATTCTATAGTTGCCTGGCCATAGAAAGGAGTATTTCTTACCATTCAAATGGCATTTCCAGTCTGCCTGCCCGATGTTCAGGTTGACCTGAGTAGCCCAATAACTGCTCACACCAGGCAGCCTTTTCCAAAATCTTAAACTGGAAACCAGCCAGCCAACCTCCCCACTCACCCCCCAGGGTAGTGCATAGAGTTTACACAGGAGATGGTGCTCCTCTGCCCACCCCCACCCCCCGCAACCTCTTCCTCCTCCTCTGGATGTTCATAGCTCAGCTCTCTGTTCTTGCAGGCTACCTTGCATGCTGCAGCCCAGGGGTGAGTTGGCAGGTGGGGGGCAGGCACTCTGACCCACTCCTTGGTCAGCCAGGGTCCAGCGTCTGAGCAGCTTAAGGGGAGCAAGCGGGTTGGAGCTGCTCCCCCGTTCAGCCCTTGGTTCACGAACTTGGGACCCGTCTCTGTGAAGGGGGAAAGCTGACCTCTCCAGCCCCACACCCACTGCTGGGGGCCCGCCCTAGCCAGCCCCACCTGCTCCCCTCACCTGGTGGGCAAGGGGAATTGGAAGGGCCCGGCTGATGGGAGCAGGGGCTGCCTTTTCGGTGAGACGGTGCAGGCATTTTAGGGAGTTTTCCACAAAGGACCCCAACTGTGTGGCTGTGTGCACATTACCTGTTTTTTCTCAATTCTGATCAAAGCTGATTTAGGGGGGAAAGACATAAAAATGCAGCATTTCATAGGGTAGATACAGGATAGATATGGATTGTGGCTTCCCCAGTCGGCAGTGGGGATGCCCTGGGTGCAGTCTGAAAGGGAGCGTGTCTTCTGTCTGTGCCTCTTGGCAGAGGGAGATGGGAGCAGCAGGAGCAGACACAGACCAGAGTCAGGAAGTGCTGGTGGGGGACACCATCACAGAAGGGCCCCCATGCTACCTCAGGCATAGATTGCGTGATGGGTCACTTCTTGCCCCACAGGAAGGAACCTCGGCCATTTTCTGCCCTCCCTGCACATCCTATACAGAGCATCGCCCCCCCCCCCAGTGGCTGAATGGCTGGAATAGAAGCCCCTCCCCCCCTGCTGCCTGTGTGCTCACCTTTGTCATTGGGCTGGACTGGAGAAGGGCATTTTCTTGAACCAGGCGGATGAATCCCAGAAACTCCTCGTCTTCATAGTCAAAACGACTGCCAAAGGAAACTGAGCAGAGGATGTTGGCAGTTGCCTGGCTGAGGAAGCGAGATGGGTCGAAGGGCCTTCCTGCCAGGGCACAAACAGGGGCATCATTTCGAGGCCGTGGGGAGATCCCGGCTGCATCCGGTCAGGCTCCCCTCCAAGGCCAGGAAGGGCAAGGGCCCATCTCCAACCCAAGGGAGAGGACTAAGGATGGCTTCTGGCCACGTTGACTCGGCTCTGCTTCCACAGCCAGAGTTAGCAATGACTCTCAAACCCGCAAGAGGGACTGATTTTGCTCTCAGATCCTGCTTGGGGGTTTCCCATGGGGGCAGTGGTGGACTTTGGGCGTTCACGTCTATGCAACACTGCAATCCAGCCCCCTCCCCGCTCTGTTCTACAGCCTTGTTTTGGTGCCCCCTGCAGGGTGTCTCACGCTACCCTAAAACTGCCTCTGATGGGGTATCTGCTTGTGAGCACAGGAGGCTGGCCTAGACGGGCTCCCCTTGGCCTGATCCAGCAGGCCCTTAGGTTCTTCTGCCCACAAGGCCAGTCCTGATCAGGATCTGTCCTGTGGAGCCAAAAAGTTAGCGCAGTCTGGCATATTGAAGGTGGTTGGACTAGAAGACCCTCGGGGTCCCTCCCAACTTCACACTTCTATGATTCTGTGAGCCACCAGCCATTTGCTACTTGGAATAAAAGAAGTCTGCTTGAGGAGCCCGTAGCACCGTGTGGTCTGGAGGTGAGGAAGAGAGGCCTCCTTACCATTTGTGTTTCTGAGTCTCTCCACCAGGAAACTCGCCTCCTCCTGGATCCTCTCCTCAAAGCTCCTTTTCCCCACCTCCAAGCTGCCCAACGTGGCAACAGCAAACTGCCGCAGCTGCCTCCACGTCTCCCCGTTGCTGAAGCCAATTCCTGAGGACACGCAGAGAGGAAGGCAATGCATGAGGGGCAAAGGGGCTTTGTGGGGCCAGGATGCTTCCCCCCACCGCAGGGCTGTGCTGTCCCTCCGCCGTATGCTGAGCAGCAGAGGGTGGAATTTGTCTGTCTGTCTCTCACACACCACAGGAGCCAAGGAAGCTCAATAGGGCAATTAGAGAGAAGGCGAATGGGGCATATACAGGATTCGGCCTCATTGCACAGGGGAAAACAATCTGCCTTTCTGATGCCACAGACTTGGATCTGTATTTCTGCGGGAAAAGAGAGCAGGAATGGGGATGGGGAGGGTCACCCAAAACAGAGAACTACTTGGAACAAGGAGCTCCCCCAATACTTACTTACTTTTCCTCAGTTCCTGGCCTCTGGACCTTATCCAACACCCCCCCCCCATGAAGGGGAGCTGTGGACCTTAGTCTGTCAAATGCCCAGCAGAGACCTAATGGGTGGCGGGGGGAGGGGGCATTCCTGTGTTGCGTTCACTGCCTTGCCTAAGCCACACCTTAGAAAGCAGCCCATAAATACTTTTGACAACGCCCCTGTGGGCTCTGCCTAAGGGGCTGGAGGCTGTGCATGTGCTGGCGTGCAGCTCTTCTAGAAACCAACCTGTTCCATTGGCTGTTTTAGCCAGAATGGGGTTGCTTCCTCTGGCCCCAAAGGAGTCTCCCTGGGCCAGCAAGGCCTCCTGCGCCACTTCGTGCCCATAGAGCACCACGACCCGTTGAGAGCCCAGGTGGATGGTGAAGATGGGCCCGTACCTCTGGCTGAGCTGGGAGAAGAGAAGGGAGGTGGGCAGGCTTCCTTTGCACAAGTACAGGCTGACCTCTCTGGGGGGGCCCTCAGCCTGCACCCCAAGAGCCCCGGCCCAGCCTCCACCGCCAAGGGATGTGCCCTTCTGGGCTCCTCACTGGGAGCGCTAGAAGAGGGCCGCTTATTGTGGCAAAACAAGTTGATGGACTATGCTGAAATGGCAAAATTAACTGGGAAGTTCAGAAATCAAGAAGACAAGAACTTCACAAAAGAATGGGGAAAGTTCATAATTTATTTACGAGACCATTGTAAGCAGGTTAAAACATTAGCAGGATTTTAAACACACTTGTAAAGTAATGGAAAGTATGGATAATTTGGAAGGACAAAAATTTGGATAAGTATTGATATGCAGTTGTAAATATTATCATTAGGACCCATGGAAGGGATGTGGGGAAGTCAGGAAATTCAGAGTAATCTTGATAGCTGGATCTTGAATTGTTTTTTTGTTGTATGTTTATATATATTTTAAAATCAAATAAAAATATATTAAAAAAAGAAGAGGGCTGCTTATTTTGAGCCAGGTGCCTTCGGGTCACCTACCTGGGCAGAGTCTCCTTCGCTGGCGGTTTCTGCAGCCATTTGGTGCTGCTGTAAGGAGGAGCTCCTGGGTGGTGCCTCTGGGCAGCTGAGAAGGGCAGGGCTGCCCTTATTGGGCCCCAATGTGTCCTGCAGCCTCACCACCATGTGTGCCTCCTTGAGACAGGGTGGCAGAGGCACGCTGCAGGATGCGGTCCCCCCTTGCTCCAAAGCAGCCCTCCTGGGAACCCTCACATTGCAAAGTGAATCTCGGTCTGCAAACATCTGGGGCCTCCTGACTGTGAAGACCAAGAGGGTGAACTACTCAGGCCTCTTGCTGGGCAGGCCTGGGGTGGCACAGGCCCCATCTTGCCGTGGGGCTCCATGCCAGGCTAGCCTGCCAGCCCCCACCAGCCCGTACTGCATGCTGGCTTACCTTCTCCAAAGATCTGGGGAAGTCCTTGGTGTCCAGCTGCAGGATGTTCCCCACCCAGGGCAGGGCCTGGGGGCCTGGAGGGAGCCTCTGGTGGCCAGGCGCCTTCCTCCGGACTGAGAGGAAGAAGAGGCAAGCAGCACATAGCAGGAGAAATATGCCAGGGGCCTCCCAAGTCTCCATGACCAAAAACTGCACTTCACCAGATTGCAGGACGAAGGGAAGCTGTTTATTGCAGTCCAAAATATGCAAAACTGCTCAGATGAAGGTGGGGCTGGATTGCTAGCCAATCGCCTTCTGTTGGTCTTCAAGATAACAACTGCAACCTTCTGTGCCCAAAGGTCACCGCTGGAGGTGTGTGGGAGGCCCTTGAAGGAAAGCCAAGGCAGATGCAGGCAGACGCAGCCACCCACAGAGCCTCCAAAATGCAGGACTCTCCTGGCACCTCCGGATCCATGAGAAGGTTCCTGCTGGCTCACAGCAAGGTGGGCCCAGCGTGCAGCATCCCCCCCCAAAGGCCCACCAGGCACCTCCCTGGAACCCACAAGCCCCCGCCCCAGCTCCCTGCTTTGGGGTGTCCCTGCTTCTCTCTTTCACACTGCTGCAGCGTCTTTTCTGTCTCCTGCCGTCTGTCCCACTCTGAATTTTGGGTTGTTTTAAGGCGGCCAGGAATGAGACACAGCATATTTCATCATGCAGCAAATCTGCTTTTCCTTCCATCTGCTTGCCCAGGGAGCCACAGCGACTGACCAAGCAGAGGTGGTGGCAGGGAAGGAGCTGCTTGCTCGCTGCCTGGGGTGCAGGTCCAAGGGGATTCAAGGCACTTCATGGGTTCAGGGCTTTTGCATTGTCCCCATGATGTCACCCTCATCCAAGGGACAACCTGAACTTTCCTCCCAATTAATTGGGGTTTCCCCAGTCTATGAATAATCTGATGCGGGTTGAGAGTGGGGGAGATCAACATAAAATCACATCCTACCCAAGTGTGGACACTGAAGCAGATACTTCCACATGATGTTCTTGAGAAGAGCCTGCTGGACCAGGCAAATGACCCTTTCTAGTCCAGTGGCCCAGCAGATGCCTTTGGGAAGCCGTCAAGCAGGATTTGAGCACAAGAGCAATTCTCCCCTCCAGAAGTTTCCAGCAAATGGGATTCAGAAGTATTGCTGCTTCCGACCAGGAGGCAGAGCATAGACATCCTAGCTGGGAGCCATCCATGGCCTCTCGGCCATTCCTCCTCCTCCTCCTCCTCCATGGATTTGTCTCATTCTCTTTCAAAGCCTTTCAAGCGGGTGGCCATCTCCGCCTCTTCTGGAAATGAGTTCCATAGTGTAACTCTGTCAGCTGACCTGCGTTCAAGATGGAGGTCTACTTCTATTCTGGACACTTCTGACAGACCTTCTTAATAAGCTCCAGCTTAATATCAAATAATGGAAAGGTATTCTGAATGGGCTCACTGAGCTTTGCATTGCAGGCCCCCAGACCGTGGGTCCCTGAGAGACAGTGTGATTCACTTTAAACTTGTTTTTAGAGCCTTTGAAAATCTGCACAAACTTCAGTACAAGGATTCTGAATTGCAAGCTTAGCATCATTGTGTCTGCCCAGAGACCCAGGCAAAAATGTTCCCATGCAACCAGACCTTTGGCTGATTAGCAGTCAATGTGCTTTTAAATGTGTTTTTTGGATGGGAGCATTACTGTTTTGTTTTTGTTCTTGTTTTTATTATGTACTTTGAGGGTTTTACATTGTTAACTGCCTTGTGGTTTTCAGATGAAGGATGATATACAAATTTAATTAGGAGGAGACAGAGGAGTAATAGAGGTCAATATCACTTGTAACAATACCAGTCAGATTCAGAAAGTCACAAACTGAAAACAGGAAAAAAAGCATATCTGAAGACACCATGGCAGAAGCTGCAAAGCCAAAGTCTGCAACAGGTATAAACCCGGGGTGGGGTGGGGTGTGGAGAACATTTTTCAGGTTTCTAAGATATGTCAAAGACTTATAGGTGAGCCATACTGAAAACAGGCATCTCCTGCTGGAGTCTGAACTGCACTTAGCAGCCCCTTTCATGATGGCAGCCCCTCAGCTGCCCTCTTCAGCCTCCGCTCTGAGGTGCTTATGGGGAAGAGGGTTCTGTGGCCTTCGTGCAGTGGCTATATCCTGCCATGTCGCCCTTCTGGTTTCTCTGGCCTGGTATCAGTGCTGCAATCACCAGAGGAATCCAGAACTGCCCCCAGCTGCAACTGCAAGATCTGTCACTGTTAAGACAGACAAGGCAAGAGCTGGGGGGTGGGGCAGAGTCCTGTTTCCCAGCAGGGGCCATTTCCCACAATGCTTAGGGAAGCAGCAGCTGCAGCCTCTGGAAGGCAGGCCAGGTGAGCCCTAGAAGCCCAACCCCACGGGGGGACGGGGGGGGGAACCCTGACCAAGGGTGTGCCCTGCACGGTTGCCCTGGAGCCTGAGAGCAGGACTTCTAGTGGATCAGGCCCTGTTTAGAATGCTGACCTCCTGCTTTATCAACCTGAGTGGCTCTCCAAGGCTCTTTTACGCAAGACAAGCACAGGAGCTGCTGCTTTGGAGAAACACAGCGAAGTTGCCTTGCGGCAAAGGGCTCCGCTTCCCCCAGGAGAGCACCTTGTGTGCCGAGTGCTGGGCTGGAGGGGACCTCAGAAGCCCCCAAAGGAGACCAAGTGGGCTCTGGTGCCAGAAGGGCAGGTAGGTTTTTTAAAAATAGGAACGATCCACAAGTGTATGGGTCGCATGGAAGCCAACTCCTAAGGGTCAAGGTACCTTCACCCCCTCATAAAATATTTGAGGGCATTGCATGGCGGGGCTTACCTGTGCCCCTCATTATTTTATTCACGTTGGCCCTCCTGGTGTGCTGGACAGTTGAATGAATACCTCTGCACATGTCCACATCAGACATCAGGTTTCCTAGGTTGGAGGAACACGTGCATGTTTTCCCAATCTTACTATTTTTTACTGCAATTTGGAGCAAATCTGCAATATTGGAAAATGTAAAAAAAGAAAGAAAAAGGGACAGGGAAGTTTAGTTTCCCCAACTGCCTTTAACCAGCTAATGAACCTTCCTGCCATTTTTCTTAGCATTTTGGCTCATCATTTGGTTTACATTTATTTTAGAGCATAAATAGAGGCATTACATGCTTTTAGTGATACCTTATAGTTTTTATGAACTCTCAGTGTGCTTATTGCTTTTAAACATCACAGGCACTAAATAAGAGAAGAACCAATGAGCCCATAGATGGGATGCATCGAAGCAGGCAGGAAAAGAAGGGGTGGACAGAAAAAGAAAAAAGGAATGGTCTAATTGTAGAGCAAATCACTCGTTTACAGGTTGAAACCTATTTGTTAGCCAAATCAAGTGGACAAGAAGTTGAAAGAATAAGGCACTGAGGTACAGGAAAAGAATATTTAGCATTATAATTTGTCACCATGTTTTGCAGTGGGTTTTTCTACCCACTCCTGAAGCAGAGTAGCCAAGGAGAGAGAAAAATGAATTAATAGCAAGGACCGTTGAGCAAAGTGCATATTTGAAGAAGCAACAGAAGGTGGAGGTAGTGTTGGTAAGCTTCTGCTGCCTGGCGGAAGCCTAACAACTCTGCTGTCAAAGGGAGCTTGCCTCCTTGCTTGAATCTAAAATGGGGGGGGGGGGCAGAATTCTGCAGTTAACCTGAACAAACCTAAGGGCAGTCAAAATATAAAAAAAATAAAAAGTCCAATAAAAAGTCTGGGTATGCGCTTTCGTGTGCATGCACACTTCTTCAGATACACTGAAACAGAAGTCGCCAGGCCCTTATATATAGTGGGAGGGTGGGGTTTTTCTCAGAAGGGTAGTAGGAGATGGGCGATAGACTCAATGGGTATGGTAAACCTGTTGACAACTGTTGTTGTTGTTGTTGTTTAGTCGTTTAGTCGTGTCCGACTCTTCGTGACCCCATGGACCAGAGCACGCCAGGCACTCCTGTCTTCCACCGCCTCCCGCAGTTTAGTCAGGCTCATGTTTGTAGCTTCGAGAACACTATCCAACCATCTCATCCTCTGTCATCCCCTTCTCCTTGTGCCCTCCATCTTTCCCAACATCAGGGTCTTTTCCAGGGAGTCTTCTCTTCTCATGAGGTGGCCAAAGTATTGGAGCCTCAACTTCACGATCTGTCCTTCCAGTGAGCACTCAGGGCTGATTTCCTTAAGAATGGATGCGTTTGATCTTCTTGCAGTCCATGGGACTCTCAAGAGTCTCCTCCAGCACCATAATTCAAAAGCATCAATTCTTCGGCGATCAGCCTTCTTTATGGTCCAGCTCTCACTTCCATACATCACTACTGGGAAAACCATGGCTTTAACTATACAGACCTTTGTTGGTAAGGTGATGTCTCTACTTTTTAAGATGTTGTCTAGATTTGCCATTGCCTTTCTCCCAAGGAGCAGGCGTCTTTTAATTTCGTGACTGCTGTCACCATCTGCAGTGATCATGGAGCCCAAGAAAGTAAAATCTCTCACTGCCTCCATTTCTTCCCCTTCTATTTGCCAGGGGGTGATGGGACCAGTGGCCATGATCTTCGTTTTTTTTATTTTGAGCTTCAGACCATATTTTGCGCTCTCCTCTTTCACCCTCATTAAAAGGTTCTTTAATTCCTCCTCACTTTCTGCCATCAAGGTTGTGTCATCTGCATATCTGAGGTTGTTGATATTTCTTCCGGCGATCTTAATTCCGGCTTGGGATTCATCCAGCCCAGCCTTTCGCATGATGAATTCTGCATATAAGTTAAATAAGCAGGGGGACAATATACAGCCTTGTCGTACTCCTTTCCCAATTTTGAACCAATCAGTTGTTCCATATCCAGTTCTAACTGTAGCTTCTTGTCCCACATAGAGATTTCTCAGGAGACAGATGAGGTGACCAGGCACTCCCATGTCTTTAAGAACTTGCCATAGTTTGCTGTGGTCGACACAGTCAAAGGCTTTTGCATAGTCAATGAAGCAGAAGTAGATGTCTTTCTGGAACTCTCTAGCTTTCTCCATAATCCAGCGCATGTTTGCAATTTGGTCTCTGGTTCCTCTGCCTCTTCTAAATCCAGCTTGCACTTCTGGGAGTTCTCGATCCACATACTGCTTGAGCCTTCCTTGTAGAATTTTAAGCATAACCTTGCTAGCGTGTGAAATGAGTGCAATTGTGCGGTAATTGGAGCATTCTTTGGCACTTCCCTTCTTTGGGATTGGGATGTAGACTGATCTTCTCCAATCCTCTGGCCACTGCTGAGTTTTCCAAATTTGCTGGCATATTGAGTGTAGCACCTTAACAGCATCATCTTTTAAAATTTTAAATAATTCAGCTGGAATATCATCACTTCCACTGGCCTTGTTATTAGCAATGCTTTCTAAGGCCCATTTGACTTCACTTTCCAGGATGTCTGGCTCAAGGTCAGCAACCACACTACCTGGGGTATACGAGACATCAATTTCTTTCTGGTATAGTTCCTCTGTGTATTCTGTGTATTCTTGCCACCTCTTCTTGATGTCTTCTGCTTCTGTTAGGTCCTTTCCACTTTTGTCTTTTATTATGGAAATCTTTGTACAAAATGTTCCTTTCATATCTCCAATTTTCTTGAACAGATCTCTGGTTTTCCCCATTCTATTGTTTTCCTCTATTTTTTCCTCTATTTTTCTCCTTCATGGATCACTGCCTTGCCGTGGCGAAGGGGCTTGAATAACTCAGAGAAGCTATGAGCTATGCCATGCAGGGCCACCCAAGATGGACAGGTCATAGTGGAGAGTTTTGACCAAACGTGATCCACCTGGAGCAGGAACTGGCAAGCCACTCCAGTATCCCTGCCAAGAAAACTCCATGGACAAAGACAACAGGCATATAAAAGTTGACAACTGTTAACAACTGCAATTAGTCCTACAAGAAAAAGCAAGGGATAGCATGCAGATGATTAGCACAGGCACAGGCATAGGCAACCTCGGCCCTCCAGATGTTTTGGGACTACAACTGCCATCATCCCTGACCACTGGCCCTGTTAGCTAGGGATGATGGAAGTTGTAGTCCCAAAACATCTGGTGGGCTGAGGTTGCCTATCCCTGGATCAGCATATGTAATGAGACAGAAAAATTCCACCCCACCCTCCCACTATATATAAGGGCCTGGTGACTTCTGTTTCAGTGTATCTGAAGAAGTGTGCATGCACACGAAAGCTTATACCCAGAACAGACTTAGTTGGTCTCTAAGGGGCTACTGGACAATTTATTGTGTTTTTTTTAATATATATTTTGACTGTGTCAGACCAACACAGCTAGGTACCTGAATCTAAAACCTAAGGGCATTCACCCAATCTTGTCTCTCTGAAATGCAAATTTGGCTTGTCTACAGAACCTTCTCCCTCCTTCCCTTAGCTCCACCTCCCAACAAAGGAAGGAGGAAACTGCATGGATGGACTAGTATTGGCATCCATTAGCCTAGCCAATTAGCAGCTAGGAAGAGCTCAGAAGAACATACATAATAAACTGTTCATCACTTTTCATTGTCATTATCATATTTTTTAAGCTGTATTTTCAGAAATAGACTGGGAAAGACTTACCTCTCATTTACCATTAAGAAGTTTTTCTGCAGGGACACTCAACAGAGTCTTTGCCCTACAAGTAAGTTGCCCTCCTGAATCATGAATATAAACTGTGAATGGGGTGTTAGGAGAGCGGCACAACACCCCAAAGCAGCATTTTGCTCTTATGGCAGTTTGAAAGGGTTCTACCCTCCACCTTCAGGGGGGCTGTGGAAGGCAAAGGTTAGCAGACCTTCCTTGAAGAATTTTCTCAAAAGAGACCATCTTCCTGAGGATGTTTCACCCCTCCCATTGCAAGAATCTGCGGACAATGTTTCAGAAAGGAGGGGGTGGATTTTGCTCATTGCTTCTTCTGCTCCAGCCTGACTTCAAAGGGATTCTGAGTGTTATCTGTATATAGATAAGGTGACTGCTCAAGCAGCTGTAACACTCATGCAGCCCAGCGTCTCCGATTAGTCTTTAGTTAGTTTATGCAGTAGCTGTAGAGAATAAAAGAAGTTATGCTTCAGAGCTGCCGTTCGTGTGGTTCATACTCTGCTGTGCTCCGCTGACTTTTGGAACTGAGTTTGGTGCTCACAGCTCTACGTTGTGAGTCCACCGCACTTAGACCTGCTCCCTGCAGTGGAAGGTAGGTCTCTGGAAGTGCTTTTCCAGCTCGCTTGGCCCAGTCGGGGCTGAAGAGGTTGAGCCCAGTCATGGCACTGGCTCAAAGGCGAGTTCAGCTGGTTAGAGCCTGGTGCCTATAATGTCAAGGTTGCAGGTTCAAACCCTGCACGGGACAGCTGCCTATGCTTGCATTGCAGGGGGCTGGACAAGATGATCCTCAAGGTCCCTTCCAACTCTACGATTCTATGATTTGATAAGAGCCAAAATGCTCCTCTCATTCCAGCTGGCATCTCCATGGGTGGGAAGCTCAGTGGGCCCAGAAGAAGCCACGAGGCAACACCCTCCGACTGTCACATTACGGCTGGTATGAAATGAAGGTCCTTTGGAGCAGCCATTAGCCACCCCTTCCCCTCCACATCCCTCCCTCTCTGACAGCCACAGCCCCAACCGACTAGCCAGGAGCAGACGGGCTCAGCTCATGTATTTAAATATATAAAAACACCCTTTTATTTGAGGATTTTCTTATGACAAAACACTTTTTTTTACAGTACAACAATCCAGCATATGTTCAAATTATATACACCCTCCTCAGAGCAATCCTTAGGAATCCGCCTTTGGCCGGCAGTTAATATTTCCCAGCAGAAGCAAGGAGCAGCAGCTTCTGAGCTGAAACAAAGCCATGAAGAGGGGAAGGGGAGTCTGTCCTGCCATGGCCTCTAAGGCCCATCCTGCCTGGGTGCCCTGGAGGACCCTGTAGCAGAGAGAGACCCCTCTCTCCCTGAACCTCACAGGAGATGCTCGGTGTGGGGTGAGTCTGCCTCCGTTTCAGAGGGAACAGCTGCCTTCCTTTCCTCCACAGCACAATCTGGAGTTGTGCGCAGGACCCCCACTTAGACCCAGCAGCCACCTCTGCTCTGGAAGCCAGACAGGCCAATGGTAGCTGATCTGGGGGGGGGGGCGAGGGTCAGGTGTATGTGGCTGGCCACCCTCCCTCCACGCAGGAAGTCTCTGTGGCCGTGGAAGAAGAGCCCTCACAGGGAGGGAAAGGAGGCTCCTCACAGGAAGAGAGAGGGCAGGATCCAGCCGGTCTGTGCTGCCGCCTGCTCACTCCCGCCCTGGCCCTTAATCTTCCTGGGCGAGGTCAAAGGGCTCAAAGGCCTGGCGGAAGTCTTGGGCTGCCGTGGCTTCTTCCTCCTGCCCCGCCTGGCAGCTCCTCCAGTCGGCCCGCCCAGGCATGGCCAGGATGGCTTCGCTGGCGAGGACCTCCCTGAGGGGAGAGAGAGGACACCCAGGAAAGCGTCAGCCCGGCCTGCTCTCTCCAAGCGCCCCCAACCCCACAGAGCAGCTGGCTTCCTGCCCCCTCCCCAAACCACTCCTGATTGGGGGAGGTTGAAGGGGCAGAGATACTGGAGGTTTCCAAGCAGAGGCTGGATGGTTTCAGTTGAGATTCCCACGTTGCAGGGGGCTGGGCTGGATGACAACTGGGATCTCTTGCAACTCTACAACTCTAGGATTCTCTGAGCAAGAGAATCCTGGGGCTCAGCAACCACCCAGCATGTGCAGAGTCCCTGTCATTGGGGGTGGGGACAAATGACAAACCTTCCAAACTGGAGGGGAAAGCTCTTC